GACCAGCGGCTTGGTCTCTCTGGACCTCATTTCCGTTTTGTAAAATGGGGCTGGATTATTTCAGGAAGAGACACATGTGTAAGGATCTTGGCCCATAGTAGGTTTTTGGTTTGGTTTTATTCCCCTTCCTCTTCCCCAATTTTTTTTTTTTTTTTTTTTTTTTTTTTTTTTGAGACGGAGCTCTGCTCTTGTTGCCCGGGTTGGAGTACAATGGTATGATCTCAGCTCACCCCAACCTCCACCTCCCGCATCCAAGCGAGTCTCCTGCCTCAGCCTCCTGAGTAGCTGGGACTACAGGCATGCGCCACCATGCCCGGCTAATTCTGTATTTTTAGTAGAGACGGAGTTTCTCCATATTGGTCAGGCTGGTCTCGAACTCTTGACCTCAGGTGATCCACCTGTCTCGGTCTCCCAAAGTGTTGGGATTACAGGCATGAGCCACTGCACCCAGCCTTCATTTTTTTCTTAAACTGTGCACGTTATTCCTTCATTCACCCCACTAATATTTGTTGAGCGCCTACTATGTGCCCAGCAGTGAGTAGCAAATAAGCAAAAAGTCCCTTTGACCCTCAACCTCGTGGCTCAACTCAGCTTTTCTGCCAGGCAGGGCCCTTGCATTTCTGAATGTCTCCACTGGGCTTCACCCAGGGATGACCAAAGAAATATGAGCTCCAGAAGATGCATTCCCCAAACGTGCATCAGCCCTTCCTGTGCACCAGAACCTGTGCTCACAACTGTGAGGAGATGTGGATTAGAACCCATCCGTCCCTCAAGAAACATCTTCTTTCCAAAAAATACAAAAATTAGCTGGGAGTGGTGGTGGCTGCCTGTAATCCCAGCTACTTGGGAGGTTGAAGTGGGAGAATCAGTTGAACTGGGAGGTGGAGGTTGCAGTGAACTGGGATCAAATCACTGCACTCCTGTCTGGGTGGCAGAGAAAGACTCCATCTCCAAAAAATAAAAAAAATAAAAAATAAATAAGAGAGAAGGAAAAGAAAAAGAAACATCTTCTCCGTCTACTTCCCTTCACTGCATTCTGCCCTTGAGTAAGGGACTATAAGACAGTTTCCTCTGTTACTTCCATTTGATCCCAAATACATGAAATCTGGCAGATACTCATTTTTTTAATAGGGAAAATGTGTATATATTTATACTGTACGACATGATGTTTGGATATCTGTATACACTATGGCTTATTCAAGCCTGTTAAAATACGCATTATCCCACATACTTACCATTCTTTTCTGTGATGGCAATACTCAAAATCAACTTTCAATAATTTTCAAATATACAATAGATTGTTATTAATTATAATCATGCACAATAGATCTCATAGTCTTCCTGTCTAACTGAAATTTCATATTCTTTGACCAACATCAAAAAGATGAAAGATAAAAAAAATGTTGGCAAGAATGTGAAGAAAAGGGAATTCTTGTAAAATGTGGGTGGGAATGTAGATGAGTACAGCCATTATAGAAAACAGTATAGAGGTTCCTCAGAAAATTAAAAATGGAATTATCATATAATCCAGCAATCCCACTTCTGGGTATGGTATATACCCAAAGGAAATAAAATCAGTATGTTGAAGAGATATCTTCACTCCCATGTTCACTGCAGCACTATTCACAAAAGTCAAGGGATGTAATCAACTTAAGTGTCCATCAACGGATAAATGGATGAGGTAATAAATACACATGGAATACTACTCAGCCTTGAAAAAGAAGGAAATCCTGTCATTCATGACAACATGGATGAACCTAGAAGACACTGCGTTAAGTGAAACAAGCCAGGCAGTTTCTCTTTAGTATTAATGGTAATTTATTCTAGATGAATTCCCTTTTTGGATCTTTTCACTTCAATGAGTTTCAGAGAAGGGAAAGGGACTGTAAGCAGGAGTCTGCAGTCTGCAACATTTTCATTGCATTTATCTTGCGGTATCTGAATGACTAATGCACTGGTCTGTCTCCCTTCTCTGTCCAGAAGCTCTTAGAGGTGGAATCCAAGTTGCAGTCACCATTCTAGCACATTTTAGGTGTGTCATAAATATTCATAGGATAACATTTTCACTAAAGATTGGAAGGCTGAGTTGGGTGGAAGGGCTCTTCAATGCCTTGGTCAACTTCTTGCTCAAGAGGTCTCCTCCATCTGAGATAAGCACTGCCTGAAAATAAATATTAGTAGAAACAGGAAACCTCATGCTTGGTCTGCTCTTTGGTGACACGGAGAAATAGAAAGAGCCACACTGGCTGCTTAAGATGGTGACACTGACCAGCCTCAACCCCTAAAGACTGTGCATGAGGTAACCTTTATCTCCAGCTCAGAGGAACTTCAACCTCAGCTACCACTCATTTAACAGATGTATCCAGAGCATTGGAGCTCATCACTGAGCCAGGAGCTGGGGAGACTGCAATGGCCATTACAGACTTAGTGCCTGTTCTTGTGGACTTTATAGTGGAGGAGAGAAGGTGGGTGATGAATAACTGAATGTCAGACAAGAGCAGGAGGAGCATAAGGAGGGGATGGCAGTGGCTACAGGAGTAGACAAATGAATCCTCAGAAAGCAGGGCAGGCTGATAGAAGAGGACTTCACGGAGGAGGTAGCATTTCATCTGAGTTATTCTGCAGAGGGAGAGGAAAGGTTGTGCACCAAGCAGAGGGAAGAGCATGTGCAAAGGACTTAGGGTGGGGAAATAACTCTTCATCCAAGGAGCAGGAGGCCAATAGGAGAGGGACCTTGAGCAGCAAGGAGTGAGGAGTGGTTCATGGAGCCTAAAAGACAGGCAGAGGTTTGCATCCAGTGGACCTTTCCCCATAATCTATCAGACCTGAGATGACACTCATCTACACAGGGGATGTACACATAAGGGCAGGTGGGTTCAAAGGATGTCAGCCACATCTACAAAATGAATTTCAGATTAACTAGAGAATAGCCACATTTTGGAAGGGTTTTGCAACTCACAGACATGGAATGGGGTTGCAATGACAGAGTCACTTGCTTGTTTTCTCTGTGAATATTTACTGAGCATCTATTAAGTGCCAGGCAGTGAGAACACAAAGTTGAGCAAATACAGTGTGGTCTTATCCTCTTGTGGGGAATGTTGAGTAGAGAAAGACAGTAAGTATGAATAAGTCATGTATATAATAAGGAGAGTGTGGTAAGTGTTAGGAGGGAGGAAGCGGAAACCTGACCCAACTCGGAGCTCTGGAGACGTTCCCCTCCATCCCCTCCAGCAGCGCAAAATGTTCACAGGAGCCACTCTTGGCACCAAGTGCTTTGCATGCTTTGATTCTGACAGCCAAGATGCTGTGGTGCTTTCTGTAACATTTGGCTACGCGGAGCTCTGGGACTATAGTGTCTTGGGGAAGAAAGAGCCACTTCCAATGCCTACCTACGTCTCTTGCTGCTAATCAGACACTTAAGTTTGGACGTGAGGCTAAGTGGAAAATTCTCTGGGACCATTTCCCCAGAGTGAGATGAGCCTGTGTTTCCGTCTCCACCTCATCCCTGAGCTATGCATTCAAACCTAATCTCCCTGCAGCTCTGTAGCTGATCCTTAGAGACTCTTTCATTTGCAAAAAAACCAAAATGGAGTGGAGATGGAAATTGTGTGCCAACTTTTAATGAGCCCCCAGGTGTCAGTGAAAGTCCCATGGCTTGTTCACTAACAAAACTTAGAATTGGCTTCCTGGGGATTGTTATGCAGTGGAGTTCGGCGAGTTGTGCAGACAGTTGTCCCACTGGGATCTTTAATACCAATCAAGGCTCTAACCATGTTCTTCTCTGTTGTGTCTGCCAGAAAAGATACCTGGGGGCTTTGAGCGATGGGCACTGAGAGTCTTAGAGCGGGGCTGGAGGTGGCAGGTTCAGATACATTTTACTAATTGCTTGGTTTGGAGACCCCATGACATCACTTCAATTGCATGCTCCAGGGGCTTTTCTTCTTCTTAAAACAGAGACCAGCTGATCACCACTGTGAATTGTTCGTTTCTCTTCAGTCTCATAAACACACATTAATGATTAAGGGGAGACTTGTAGCGTAGTCTGGATAGTTCCTTGCTTCACAGCACTGACTCATATCAGACAGACTCAGGTTCAATTCCTGGCTTATCCACTCCCTGGCTGTGTGGCTTTGGTAAAGTGAATTGATCTCTCTGCACCTCCATCTGCCAATTGGGAGGTTAATATTAACAGCACCTGCTTTCATTTCAGTGTGCAACTCTGGACTGTGCTGTCGGATCACGGGTGCATCACCCCACACATGAGCAATCTTGCAGGGGCAAGGGCTTGATCTGACTCACCTTTGAGTCTATAGTGCCCAGGTCTTTCTGTCCCAAAAGCCTCCAAACCATCCCCTGCTGGTCAGGCTGGGTATTAAGCCCTGACTCTGGGATTTGCACTGACTCCCACTAAGCAATAATGGAAGAATTGACAAAAAACAACTCCTCCCCCACTCCCCCACCTGAGGAGCAGGACCAATGGGAAAAGATCAGGAACAGGCCAGCACCTGCGCTCACCATTCAATCTCAATAGACTCACGATCCTTCAGAAGCTCTCGCGCTTCTTGCCGGCAGCGTTCCTGGTATTCTGGGTGCTGTGCGAGGTGGTATAGGACCCAGGAGAGACCACTGGCTGTGGTGTCATGGCCTGAGGGGCAGCCAATCAAAACTGGGTTTCTGGGCTGCTTCAGCACCAGAGGGTGGACAGCACCCATACACTGAGGCCCTCCAGGAGAATGTAGGGAGGGGGAGGATGGGCAGAATGGAGTGACACAGGGTCCACTCACCATGTCGCTGGGATGGAGAGGCCCCTGTCCCCACTGTAGTCCCACACTGAGACCCTCACCCTCAAACATGAAGGTGTCAGCTTCTGCTCTTATGTCCTCATCAGACAACTTCTTCCCGTCTTCATCCTGGAGAGAAGGCAAGACAATACCCCTGCCCCAAATCACACCAGCTCTGGGGGCTCTTGAGTCAAACCTAAAACAATTTTTGAAGATCCATCCTCCTTCCAGAAAACGAAGCCCATCGTGCACTCCTAGATGTCTCTTGGTCACCACCTTCAGAGACTACCACCCACATGCTTCCCGTTGGATTCTCCTATTTGGCCCTGCTGGGAAGAGTCAATGACCTATGAATATTATCTTGTCTCTGAATAATGAGGGCTTTTGGAGTGAAACATTACTGGCAACCTGGGTTACAGCATATTTCAATGGCAGTTTGGCTTGGAGGTTAGAAATTGAGTATTGCTCTGAAGATATTTGCTCACATTCTAGAGTGGTAAACTCAGAGAATCCTTCTTATCTTTCCAGAAGGCATCTGGGTTATAAACCTATAACACCACCACCTACATTATAAATCTATAACACCATGCACTTACGGGCATGGACATCTCACTGGAGAGGAGTAGATTTTACTCCAGAACAAAGCAAACATTCTCTCTCTCTCTCTCTCTCTCTCTGTCTCTCTCGCTTTCTCTCTCTCTCTCCCACTCTCACACTCACCCTGGAAGGAAGAAGGGGCAGATGTGCTAGCTATCCTATATAAGCTCCAAGATGTATAATGTGGGGCCCCTCTCTGCAGTGCATTCTGGTGTATTTACAGGTAAAAACATTGTGCTACCCTAGGAGGAATATGGGAATGGAGAGCCAGCTCTACAATCCTACTCTGGTTGCTGCTATTGCTGCAAATGGTTAAAATAGGCTGCTGTGATCCAGGGGTTTGGTGCATCTGTCATCATAGATACAGACATAGACATATAGATATGCATAAAAATGTGTCAGACTAACTTACTAACATGTAAGTAAAATCTCAGGCTCCTCACTATTTCAAACTTAGTGGTCCCCTGCCAGCTGAATTCCACAGAGTCATCTCTCAAACCTATCTCTGACCTGTTTTTTTCAAGCATGTTCCATGGATCCCACTGCCCTCTGGATCAAGTCTAAGTTCTCTCATTTGACATTGGCATAAATCTCCACTCTGTTACTTGAAATCACATCCCAGAGAAGCCCACCTTGCTCAGCAGAAGCACATCAATGAAGTCCAAAGTCTTGGATTTTGCCTTGTTCTTGAGGAAATCATCAATACCCTGAGTGGGGAGGGTTCGGCGCCGCTCCTGGATGACGGCATCTGTGAAGTCGTGCAGTAGGCGGCAGGCCCTGTGGAAGCGCTGCCCTTCAGGAGTGAGATGATACAGGAAGTCCGTGTGCAAAAGAATCTGCTGGTTTCTTTTTTCTACAAATGCACTGAGCTCCAAGATGGTGGCAATGTATTCACTGGGTTTCCTGCATGAGGGAGGTAACAACTTAACATATGCAAAGTCCCAGGAGCACCTCTCACCAGCAGCTAGAAGCTACTGCCCGCCAGGAAATTGAGTATCCAGAAACAGCCAGGAGACTTGACTCTCCAAAATCCCTTCTCTCCAGGCATCCTATCTCTGAGAGCTGCTTCCATGCACCTAGATACCCAGAGCATAGCTTGGACACCATGCTTCTCTCCTGTCTCTGCCACCCAGTATCCAGTCTGGACTCTTTTCCTTCCAAAAAACTGTTCACAAAACTCAGACTTCACTGTCTTCCAGTTCTTTCTGGCCCAGCCCCCGCCATAACCAACTTGCATCCAATGTCAGCTCCATGTCGTGTCTACATGACAGGCAGACCTACACAGAGCTCAGCTGTGACCGCACCTGTTATCGGCCCAACTCCCTTCAAAAGATTCCTGGGAACCTCCTGATAAAGTTCATGCCACTTTTCCTGATTTTCAATGTCCTGAAATCTATCCCCTGTCTAATTCCACAACCTCATCTCTACTGTCTGTTGTGCATGCTTATACTAGTCGTCTTGCCTATACTCAAATATTTCTACCTATTTGAAAGGACTGTGCTTTCTCTCTCCCCTTCCCCATCCTTCAAAGCCCAGCTACAACACACAGAAAGTGCCTTCAGAAAGGCACTTCTGGTTATCCCGGTCAGTCATCCTTTTCCAACCTACTCCCTTGGGTTCGTGGCCCAAGTTCTCAGGCCATAGGAAAGGACTCACTCCTGACAATTGCTTTCAAAGCTGAAGACGCATTTCTGCAGACTGTCCAAGGTCGTAAGGCTGAGGTGCTCAAATATGTCCAGTCTGGCGCTGCTCTCTGAGGCCAGGCGCTGCCACTTGTCCTGGCCAGAGTAAAAACAGAGTTGAAGCTGGGAACTGCCTCCTGTGAGTGCCTTCCCAGACCCAAACACCAAGATGGATTCCCCGCAATCATCCTCCTGGTCCTCTGCCCCAGGCACCCATCCCCAGGAAGGACCAGCTTGGATAGGACCAGAAACTGTTACTATTAGGAGATAAAGACTCATGTCTGGGAGTCGAGAGACCTGGGTTCAAGTCCCAGCTCAGCCTCCTATGGTCTGTGTGCACTTGGTCAACCTCCTGCACTCCTGTAGGTCCCATCTATCAAATCTTCAGTAACAATTAAGACAACATGCTATGGGGCCTGATAACTAGGGTGGAATCACTGCTCCACCACTCCTAGCTCACTTACTATCTGTTTGAACTTTGGTGAGCTCCCTAATCTCTCTGGCCCCCAGTTTTATCACCTGCAATAGGGCAAAACCAACCACAACCTCACACAGTTATTAAAATTAAATTAGAAAACGTGTATCCTGGAGCTGGCAAATGGCACTGTTTCTGGCACATGGTGAGTGCTCAGTAAATGTTGGTTTTACTCATCTCCATTGCCATAAATTCATTTCAAAAATATCCCTGTTGTGGGAGGGGAACTTTACACACTGGGGCCTGTCAGGGGGTTGGGGGGCGAGGGCAGGGAGAGCATTAGGACAAATGCCTAATGCATACGGAGCTTACAACCTGGATGATGGGTTAGTGGGTGCAGCAAGCCACCATGGCACATGTATACCTATGTAACAAACCTCCACGTTCTGCACATGTATCCCAGAACGTAAATATATATATACACACACACATATGTATTTATATAATTTATATAAATTATATATACGCATTTACACACACACATACACACACACACACACACACACACACACACACACACACATATGTCCCTGTTGTGAGAGGGACTCCTCCATCAGATCTGAGCATCTCTCTGGGTATGCCAAGAATGTCAGACCTGTTGTTCTTACTTGGGCCACTTCTCAGAGTTGTTTTTGCAGAGAACAACATCGAGAGACAAGGCCATGGCTCCTCCTGGACCAATATCAAGCTTGCTTCTGCTTGCTATAAAAGCAGATTCCCTAAGTCTAGTGCTCCTTTCCTCCCATGCAATGCACTGCATGAGCAGGCAACTATTGAAACCTCTCTGTGGCACCCTGTGTGATTTGGGTGGTTTGGAGAAATGATGCAAACCAAGAACATACTGCTTGCTATGCCATGAGTAATAAATAGTCATTTGTCTCTGACCCAGGACTCTCGTATCTCCTAGCAGAATCCACGAAGTATTAACAAAGCTAGCTTATCAGCTTGCAAGTAAGTAAAACATCTTAAGCACTTCACAAAATACCAACTCCCAATTCCTCACTCCTCCCTCTATTCACACACTTTGCACTATGAATTTCCAGCAACTTCTATTAAGACATGGAGCCTATTTTATGCCTGTTTGAGTCTGTGCAGACCTAAGCCTGGTTGAACTTTGAAACATTGCAGAGAGAATGTCCAGAGACATTGTAGTGTCCTCACAGTCTCTCAGAACCCAGTCTATGCCATGTGAACAGCAGGTGCCTCCTGGAGGCAGAGAAACACATGGAGAAAAGTCCAGGTGTCACAGCTGAGGCCAGTCTAGATTAACCTGAAGCTAGTGAAGCTCCAAACAAACATGTGAATAAACTGAGCCAGGATCAGCAAAGCTGCCCACCTGACCCACCTGACTTGCTCATGTACCAAGAGTGATCCCATCCACATGCAGAAGAACCAGCCAACTGTCTCACACACTTGTTAGGTATCATAAGCCCTTATTGCTCTAAACCAATGAGTTTTGAAGTGGTTTGTACTCAGCAATTGCGACTACGCAATCTTCATCTTTACTTTCTTGAGTTTGAAGGGTTTCTGTGAGAGAAACATGGAAACTCACACCTCTGAGACCTACCATGTGCCAGGGACACGATTCCATTATGTCATCTTGCCACCTTTTAAGTAGAGATTATTATCCTCATTTTACAGATCAGGAACCCGAGGCTCAGAAAGGAAGAACATTGGCCCCAAAGCACAACCAAAATTCCAGACCAGATATGCCTGTGGTCCCTCTGCCCCAAGGCTCCAGCTGGGACTCAGAGTTCAAGGGACTCACATGCATGATGTTCACGCTCTTGTTGAAAATCTTCATATAACGCTTCAGGATGTTGAAATGGAAGGCAGGAGTCAGCATGCGACGGTGGTGGCTCCACTTGTCACCACCACTCAGCAGGAGCCCATCCCCTAGCAGGGCAATCAAGAACAGTGGTCGAGGGCAGCACCCTCCCTTATCCCTAAAGCATATCCCCAACCCCATTCACCTGCAATTACTCACTCAGCCAGGTCTTCATGAAGCCATAGAAAATCATATCGTTGGGTGCGACAGCAGCTGACATGATTGAGGGCCTTCAGGGACCGTGGAGAGGGGTAAGAGAAGGACTTTGAGTATGGAGGAATGCTCCCAGCCAGGGGTGTGCACTTCCACTTTTCCCACCCAGCATAGCAGGAAGAAGGCCAAGGGTAGAGGAAGAAGGGAGGATGGTGGAGGAAGGAGAGACTAGACCAGGCTGCAGCAGCACAGCAATAACACAGCATGCTCCAGCACACAATGACATATCTCCTACATGGTCCAACATGTTCTGCAACACCTGAGCATAGCTCAACACTCTATAGAATGCCTTTACAGGGATCTAGGACACCCCATATGTCCCCAGCACTCTCTGCTATCTTCTGACATGGATCTGGGACCTGGGATATTGCCCTGATATGTCTTAACATTCGTGACATGGCCAAAATACACATGCCAAACCCTAAATGACACAACATGCTCTCCCATGAGCCTGAGATGGTGTAATGTGACCTCTGTGTACTCCAATGACGGGTCCAGATAACTTTTAAATATGATGTCATGAATGTCCTAAACATGGCCCAGGTGTAACCAAGCCTATTCTTCAGGCGTAATTCAAATCTACCCTAAGACCTAACTCTACTAAGACTCAAATAATACCTCACACAGTTCTCAAAGAGACCCTGGGTCTTACACCTTGGACAAGCACCAAACATGGCCAAGACATGTGAAGCAGGATAAAAAGACAATCTCACCCTACATCTCAGACAAGTACCAAAAAGACTTTGACATGCCCCAAATGTCCTCAGCCACAGCTGAGCCCCACACATGATGACTTCTCTGTGTGATCCCAGGTGGAAGCATATACCAGATACAATCAAATATAATGTAGAAAACACAGGCTATCTTGGACCCTTGGGAGAAAGGTGGGCTTTCTGATAGGAACTGGGCTTCTGAGACTCATCATTGACACCATATGAAAAGGCAGAGTGACACAGAGAATGGTAAAACCAAGAGGAGACAGATTCCCAGTGATGTGGATTGACACCTGGATCCAACTATGCCTGAAAACCACTCTCTCCAGACTTTATGGCCCACTGATTCTCTTTATTTGCGTAGGCCACGTGAGTTTCAGTTTCCATCACTCACAACTGAAAGAGACTTCAGCAGCCAGAGAGAGCTGAGGACCTGCCCAGAGTCACTCACCATCTTGAGGTTACAGCCATAGTTTCTGTGGGATGCTGCCCCTGCCCCTGTTTGGCTTGGCCTGTTCAAGGACAGGATGAGCAAAGGGAAAGAAAGGACCCCAGACTGGAGTGGGATCTCCTACTGGAGATTCCTGGGGCCTGGAGCAGGAGAGCCATGAATAGGGTGGATGAGTGACAGGACGCGGTAGAAGGAATAAACTCACCAGAGGTGAACATCATGTAAATCACAGCCCAGATTCTCCACCAGCCTCGAATCCTCCTAGTGTAGTAACTTAGGGACAGCCAAGGCTGATGCCAGGTCTGGTAGGGGGATCTGGATACTAATGATGTCCACTGCATCACCCTTCCCTTGCTTTAAAATCTTTTTACTCATTTTTACAGCAACCCCTCCTCCAGGAAGCCTTCCAGCCTGCCCCAGCAAAGACCTTGTTCTCTGGGTTGTCGCACCCATCTCCTTCTCTCGATTCCTGACTCCACAAAGTTTGAGATGTCTCTGTCCACATCCATTTCCTCAAGCATGGGGGGCTACTTCGAGGACAGTGCTCTCAATGAAGGCTTCTTGGGCCCCCAGTGGTGCCCAGCACAAAATGGCAGGGACAGATGGCAGTGGATGGAGGAGATGCTGACATGGGGGTTGGTGAATACACAAAGGAAAGAGGGACATGGCTGAGAGAGAAGCAGGAAGAGGGGCCTGGACCCTGCAGGGCCCACATGGAAGCTTGGGGGAAGAGAGGATAGAAGGCCTCGGATATTTTGCAGCCCTCATCATCCCAAGCTCTGCATGGGTGCCTGAGACACTGGTGATAGAACGGATGATGTCAGGGTGGCATAAAATGAGGAGGGGGAAGGTAGGACCCATCCAAAACTTAAAGCCCTGGGGATAGGTGGCCACCAGCTGGGTGACCTTCTTCATGCCCTCTTCCGTGGGAGTGATCTGAAAGCAAGGCAGAGGCCATCAACCCTTGTAATGGTTAATTCTAGGTGACCTGAATTAACCATGGTTTCCACATGACTGAGCTAAGGGATACCCAGATAAAACATACTGGTAAAACATTATTTCTGGATGTGTCCTTCGGTGTATTTCCAGAAGAGATTCGCATTTGAATAGGTAAACTGAGGAAGGATGATCCGCCTCCCCAGTGGGAGTGGGTGTCATCTAATCCTTTGATGGTGCGGATAGAACAAAGAGGCAGAGGAAAGGGTGGACGTGAGCTCTCTTCTGGGGCTGGCTCATCCATCCACTCTTGTCTTTGGACGTGAGAACTCCAGGTTCTCAGGTCTTTTGGGACTCCGACTGAATTTACACCACCAGTGTCCCTGGATTCTGGCTTGCAGATGCTATATCACGGGACTTCTTGGCCTCCATCACCGCATTTTCCAATTCCCATAATAAACTCTCTCTCTCTCTCTGTCTCAGTATATGCTTCAGAGATAAGAGGAAGGATATCCTATTGATTCAGTTTCTAAAGAGAACCTGAGTAACGCAACTCCCCACCAGGAGCCACAGCAAGTTCCCCCCGCAGCCTCCAGATGTGGTGCAGCCTCTGCC